ATTAGAATCCTATCTAAACGTAGGTATTCTCGCTCGCTTTTTGCTGATGCTACAACGTGCAACTGAGGGGCGCTACGTTTTAACAGGGAAAGCCCAGGTAGTTTCCTCAGATATTCTCTCCTACGATCTTTGGCACTTACATCATTACAAGCATTCATGATCTTTTTCAGTACCATTTCTTCGAGGTTCCTTATCGTCTTTGCGGACGAACAGCGAATAAATTAACCTTATCCAGTGCAATGACTCTCTGATCATTGCGTCCGAAGATGCAAGGTGGACCGGGACAAGACAAGGCTTTGGTATGACAACTGTAAAGTAGTCACTATCATGTCATACGTGTCTTGGTGACCAGTCATTCTCACAGACAGCGATACGCTCCGGCTATCATTTTCATATTCGGAAACTTTATCAATCTCGCCTGCTGCTCAAGCTAGGATCCTTTCCCGGGTCTTGCGCGCGAGGATTGGTGGGATCATGTACCAAAGGATATACGTCTTCTGCTCACGGCCGCTAGTCATAGCCGTCACAGCACCTATGGTTGTATTTGAAATAAGTCGTGTTTCTCAAGTGGTAAGATAGAAATTTGGAATCTGCCTACAGTGGATAGCCTCGATGACCATCGACTCCCTTTTAGCAACTCAATCCTTCAACATCCCGTCGCAACGAGCTTAGCGACTTCACTCCCCTGGGTTTTTGGCACGGACCTTCAGATGTTCTCTTCTCTTTCGCTGCCGTAAGTGCTATCTGAATGGTTGTCACCGTATTTACAGCCATCCGTGGCCGTGTTTTGCCTACCGCAAGTACCATATTTATACTAGCGAGTGGAGCTGTATCCAGCACCCGTTCCATTCTTTCTGCGGCTCACGCAGGGCTTGCGGTTGCAGGCATTGCTGTCACCACTACCCGCACAATTCTTTCAATAGCAAACAAAGGACTCGCCAAGGCACCCAGGGCTGGAGCTGGTCGCAAGATTCTCTCGGTAGCCAGTACGGGGCTCACAATCTCTAGCGGCGCGATCATAACCGCTCGCGCTACGCTCTCAGTAGCGGGTAAGGGCCTCGCAGTCACAGACATAGCAATCAACACCACTCGTAAAGTCTTCGAAGTGATCAATACCAAACCTCAAGCTGTACAGACACCTACGACGTTAAACGCGGTTTCACGTCTTATCCCCACGCGAGCGGCTGCACTCATGAGCGACGCCGTCGCTGTTACCCGTGATGTGCTCTCGTCGGCCAGGAATGGGCTCACAATAGCTCGTGGTGCGGCCTGCACTACTCGTCGTGTGCTCTCACTGGTGTCAGCCGGATTTACAGTTGCGCGTGTCACTGCGAAGACGACCGCTGCCTCTGGCGTTCTTTCAATTGCCCTGGCTAGCACTCGCGCCGCCCTCTCCATCGTGGCTACAAGACTTACAGCCGTACGTGTCACTACCACAACGGGCACGGAAGCCTTCCCACACGGTGTCACAGCCGCACTCACTAGCGGCACCATTAGTACCACTCGCACCGTACTCTTGGTTGCCAACGTGGGACTCGCAATAATCGGTAGCGCAGTCACAAAGTCTCACACTGTCTTCTCAGCGATCAATGCGAGATTTTCATGCGCGACGGCGACACCTCAACCTACATATGCCTCTTGGAGATTGGCTTCAATTGCGAGTACCGCATTCAGCGTTCTTCTAGTATCTAGGAAGGGAGCCACAGCCATACAAATCCATACGACAGAAGACCAAGCTAGATTCACAATAGCCGGCACTACAGTTACGGCCATCTGGCGCTCCGTCATTGCCGTCAAAGCCTTCTTCGTCGGTCCCGACACTGAACTCGCAGTGGTCCATATGTCTACTACTGGGAATGGGACTCCGCGATCGATCTTACGTGCGGCAGGCGAAATTGCTAGTGGCATGATCACCGCCATTCACATGATCTCTTTGACGACCAGAACAGGATATTCAATCCTACGCATGACTGCGAGACTTACAATGCTGGCGATGACAGTGTTCTGCATTACCGTGACTTTAACCAGGGGCATCGTCACAGCTATTCATTACCCCATTGCGCTGGCCAGCGCGAGACTCACGATCATGCGTGACGTTGCCGCGTCATTCAGGCAAGGTTCTTCCACAGCCGGTGCTGCATCTGTAGCTATGGAAGTACCAGGCGGCGTTGTTGCCAAGGTCAAAGTTATCACTCGCAATATTCTCGCGTCCGCAAGTATAAGGTATTCACCGCAAAATCCAACACCTACGACAGATCCATCCATCGGTGTCGTGGAGGATGGCGATTATCTACTTCGTAGTGATCGCGCTAGACGTATATCCGCTAAGCTTTTTCTGGCGGCCAACACAAGACTTGCAGGCGCTATGACTGCGGTAGCACGATCTGTGCTCTCGTTTCATAGTAGCGATGAACGTCTTCCGGCTATTGCTACGTTCGCCCGGTGCCCACAGCGGATCTATTCTGCCCAATGCCAACCCTCACCCTCCTTGTCATACTTGCCACATGCGAATTCGTATTGCAACTTATGGTCACACATCATGACGAGCGAGTCTACTACCCAACTTCGAGGCTAGCAATTGGAGCTGGCGAGTTGTTTGTATACCCGTGAGCATGCTACTCCGGAGCGAGCGGGTTTCTCATCCTTGAATGTGTCTATTAAAGCTCGCACGTCGCTGTCTTTTTCCATAACCATTGTGACCCTTTTGTCCAATGCTAAGGGCGGAAGCATATTATATATCTTTCAATTGCATATTCACCATTGTTAGCAATGCGCGCACACAAGGAAACTGTTGTATAAATTTTCCTCAATTTACAATTATTAATCGAGCTGCGATCGATGATAAAATAGTCGAGTAGTCCTCCGCCCCGTCTGTCTAGCAGCAATATTCGATAGCAGGTAAACTAGAATAGTAGAAATACACGGCATATAATCAAGAGACAACAGCAGATGCAACGACAGAGACACTGGACACATCAGACAGATATCAGATAGACACATGCTATAGCACACAGGCAAGAACCAACGAAACACCAGGGAAACAAGACCAACCAGATCCAGCAGCATCCAAAAACCTCTACGTAGTGTATATCGCCCACGCCGAGTCCGACGCGTGCATCGGTGCATCCCATTTCCACCCGTCCGACGACTGGTAGTACGCACTTTCGCCCCCGTCGATCTCCTTCCAGGTACCCAACCGTAACATCTCCGATATGCTGTCGCCCTCGTCGCCCGAGACAATCCGTGCAGGGTCGAATCCCGTTGAAGAGGAATGGGCAGCATCGGCTTCTGAGCCAGAGCCGGGGCTCGGGTTCGTTGAAGACGCTTGCATGAGTTCTGGCGTAGCTGCCTTCGACCCCACTTCTTCGTCCGTCCCAAATGACGAGAAATCAAAGAAGTCGAGCACATCTTGCTGGGGCGCTGAGGTTGCCTGGATGTTCTCCTCGCCCAATCCCCCCAACTCCGGCAGTGGGTCCGTCGAATCACCGCATCCCTTCAGGATCTGAGAGAACATCTGTGATATTTGCGGCCCGTTCCCATCATCTGGAGGGATCATCTGCAACATGGAGTGCATTTGCTCAAAAAACTTAACCACGTCTTCGTCTGTCTCGAGGGGTTCCATGTCCGGCTTGTGCGCCGGTGACGCGTCGCTCAGCTGTTCACCCTCCGTCCCCGTCTTGGCTTTCTTCGGTGATGGCGCATTGTTCACCTCGTCCCCGACAACGACTGGCTCATCATCGCGTTGACGCTTTCCCGCCCTGCTATCCGCGAAAGGAACAGGTGGTGTCGACGCAGCCGCGGGCGGCTGCTCGGACGATGTCAAAGAGACAGCAGCGGGAGTTTCCGCCTTGGTAGGAGATGAAGGCGATGGAACAACCATAGGAGAGGGCACGGGAATGGAAGGCCCAACAGGCGTCGAAGATGTCTTTGACCTGCGCTTCGTTGGCTCGCGCGCCCTCGGTTTCGGAGTGGGCTTGGCCTTCGGGGATTTATTAGGCGTTTGCGGTGAGCTAGCGACATGGATTGGGGTCGACATATTGATAGGCGTAGCGGCATTGATCGGAGTCGGGGCGTTGGCAGGAGGAGTGGATGTCGACGCACCGCTTTCGGTCGTAGGCTGCATTATGGGCCATTTTTTGATCGGGAGAGGATGCGGGCTATTCTCTGCTGGAGGGATCGGTGGTATGGGCGGAGGGGGCAGGCTGTGAGAAGATGATGTCGGCTGGACAGGGGTTTGAGGAACCGGCT